AATAATCCAGGTTATTTGTATTTTATGATTTGCTTGGGAAATACTGGGATGGATAGCAAATGATTCACAGGATTTTCTACAACAAAAAACATTTTGAATTACCCTTATGATATTTTCACAATAAAGTTCTTGTTCCTTGTAAACACAAGGATTTCATTTTTTATGTCTTGTTCAAGTCATTATGAAATGACCGACTTTACTATCATATTGTGACATATTTGCAAGTGAAGAAAACAATTTATTGGATTGTGGAAAGTGAGTGGTGCATACCTATAAGTGCCCCTATTGGCCAGATGACCCTATCCAATGCCGTGGCAGAAGGTTTCCTGCATTCCTTTTGTCCTTTATGTGCACTACTGTGAATAACACTTAAGTTATTGCAGTTTAAAGTATTTAATTCTAATTAATACATTACTTTCTGACTCTATTTTATCATGACCTTGAATTTGGTTTGGGACTCCAAATCCCAAATAAATTATTGGTCATATGATAATTTATCTTGACATTTTTGATTATGCAATTACCATCACTTTAGGTTATGCTCATTCATTCAGATTCCAATAACCCTCATCTGTGTATGTGGATCTCACGGTCACAAACTCACTAGTCTTGGTCATTAAATATAGGTAATTGACTTATACTTCTGTTTGCAATTACCACTACTGGTCACAACTACTACTGTTTGCAAACTAGACCAATATTACCTTTTTTAATAGCAGCTTTACATAATCATGCCATTGACTCCCATATATACACTTATCCACAGTAGAAGAACATTACAATAATCAGAGTTAGACATCACCCTATTTAGATTGGTCGATGTTGTCCTAAATGGAAATTACCTTAGAGCCTGGACATTCTAAGTTCACTTAAGCCAATTCACTAGCTGAAGCTGGTACTTAAAAGCCTGTATGTTCATTAATTTTGTGTGTACTGTATATCTCTTAAAAGATCAAATGTTACAACCTTACATAACAGAATGGAGGCAGATATGAATGTAACTGCAGTGTGGCTTTGTAGGTCAGCGGAGAGTAGTCATATCACAGTAAGAACAAGTGGCATAACAGTTTTAAATGAATATTCTGAGGTTAAAAAATAATAAAAAATTGATGACTTAAAAATGACTTTTTTGACATAAATGACTTATAAACTTAGTTGTCCACTTGTTCCTATTCCATCTCATCTCCTTCAAACCATTTCTCCTGCAATTGTACCTGCACTCACATCATTAACACATCCCTTCACACTGGTGTTTTTCCCTTAGCATTTAGACAGGCTCATATAACCCCACTACTTAACAAACCCACCCTTAACCCATCTCTTTTAGAGAACTACAGACCCCTACTTCCCTTCTTCCTTTCATTGCAAAAACACTTGAACGAGCTGTGTTCAACCAAGTCTCTGCATTTCTCACACAGAATAACCTCCTCGACAGCAAACAGTCTGGTTTCAGAAGTGAACATTCAACCGAGACCAGAGCATGCGAGCGGAGCGGGGAGCGGAGTGGTAATATTTCCTTAAGAGCGCAGAGCGCCTTTCTGAAGATTCCGCTCCACTCGCTCAACCCAGAATGCCGTTTGGTGATTTGCTTGTTCGAGATCGAGTATGGAGTTCAGATATTGTTTCAACAAAGTTGGAAGCCTTATACATATGTTGCCGAGTAACAAAGAGTAGTCATCATAAGAATTGCCGGCGGTCATGCCTATCCGTCATTAGGGGGCACTCTCGTGCGTCTGAGCAGCGGCGTGAGAAGAGCGGGGGGGAAGTAAGAGAGTTTTATTTTCGGGGAAACGGTTTATGATTGGGACCCAGCCAACATGTATATGTGGGCCCCACATGGTTTATGCTGGGTTTACATGGGTACCAAGTGGGCATGGTCCCAAAATGGGCATCTTATCTGGGGCCCACTTGGGTCAGCTAAGTAGGTCCCACATTGGCAAAAACAGATGGGCTCCCTATGTGGGTCCTAGTTGGGTCACAAATGGGAAATGAGTGCATGGGCTCTAAATGGGCAACACAAATGGGGCCCATATGGGTTTAACAAATGTGTTAGACATGGGCAAATACAATTAATCCCATATAGGCTGCCTACACTGGCCCAAGGTATTACCCACATAGGCAAACTCTATATGGGTTCTGAATGGGGAAACACATATGGGGCCCTCTTGGCCAAATCATACTGGCTCGACATGGGCAAACACAATCAGTCCCATATAGGCTGCCTAAACTGGCCCAAGGTAGTACCCACATAGGTAACCTCTATATGGGTTCTGGATGGGGAAACACAAATGGGGCCCTTTTGGCCAAACCATACTGGCTTGACATGGGCAAACACAATCAGTCCCATATAGGCTGCCTACACTAGCCTAAGGTAGTACCCACAAAGGCAACCTCTATATGGGTTCTGAATGGGGAAACACGTACACGGCCCACTTCGCAAAACCATATGGGTAAAACATGGGCAAACACAATCATTCCCATATAGGCTGCCTACACTGGCCCAAGGTAGTACCCACATAGGCTACCTCTATATGGGTTCTGAATGGGGGAACACATATGGGGCCCTCTTGGTCAAACCATATGGGTAAAACATTGGCAAACACAATCAGTCCCATATAGGCTGCCTACATTGGCTCAAGGTGGTACCCACATGGGTAATCTCTGTATTGGTTGTGAATGGGGAAATACATATGGGGTAGTGATGGGTCATTCATGATTGATCTGTTCATTGCATCTGTCACATGACAAATGAATGAAAGGTAAAGTAATTATTTCTGTTCCCTATAAATTATCTTTGGCTGCATTATTATGATTTTCTAATTTGGAATATTATCAAGATTGCGTTGGTGGATGTGTTCGGGGAATTTGGCTGGTAAATGTATAATATTTAATGCCACTTAAATGAATGAAATAAACTTGAAGACTTGAATAAAGATTTGTTAATTTTGATGAACGAGATCAAAGGAGAGCGTCAGTAAAATGATCTGAACTTCCCATCACTAATATGGGGCCCTCTTGGGTAAGACATAAGCATTCTGGGTAAGAAATGAGCAAACATAATCAGTCCTATATAGGCTGACTTGGACCCTATAGTACACAAATAGGACCTATAGGAACAGATTGGGCAGTGGGTTTGGGATCTATGTGAGTACAGTATTGACTTTATTTTCCAGAGAAACAAGCACGTCACCATCTTCAGAATATTGTGTTTGAACTTCCGTTTGTGCGGTAGCTCTGTAAATGTCTATGGCATCACTATCTAAGTAATTTAGCTGGTAAAGTGATTTTATGTATTGTAGAGTTAATGAAAGTTATCGTGAACAATGTAATGTTTAAAGCAAATGTCTTAACAAATGTCAGTAGACCAGGAAGATTTTAAAACGAGCGGTTCATTTATAAATCTGTCAGATCATAGAACTAAACTCAACAGTACATTTAGGACTGTTGAAGAGTTCATGAGTCAGTTGAAAAGCCCTGGAATATACAAATCAAATTAAATCCAGTGTGCCATCAGCAATGGTCTGCAAAGCACATTCTTATCTCCATATAGTTATTTCAAAATCTATACAAATGGTTCAAAATATCCAGAAAATGGTCACTGTGCGATATGAAGAACGGGTTACAGAAAGCCAATTATCTATAAAAATAATTGGATTATAGTGGCTTTGAGATGGGTAGAAGAACTCAACCCCCTAGCAACAGCTGCCTGATTCCACTGAAGTACTCCAGAGTGTAATGGTCAGTTGGTTAGTAACAGATAATGAAATAGCCCAAGTGAAGAAAGATAGAATTGAAATTCATGTTTCTGATGGAAAAATCCAGAAATCGTGTTTGCAGCAAATGATACAGATGTTCAGAATAAAGTTCCATTCAGTTAGCATATTGTGTTTTGTGTTCAGTATTCTTTTTGAACCAACAGTACAGACTTTTCTTTTCAGTCTAGTTGGCACATGACCAACCTTCAAAGTTGAAATATGATTGAAATAATGTCAGTTGCTGTTTTAACGTTTACACAATGTTGATATAAAGTTTAATGCTAAATCATTGTAAAATGTTTTTAACAAAAACAAATCATTAAAAAAAAGACAATTAAAATATCTATGTTGAATCAATGTCATGTCATTAACAAGAAATATCTGCCTTTTGAATTATTATGATCATTAATATTTTATTTATTAGCATTTTATGATATTTTTATCAAAACCTCTTCAAAAATCCAAATGTATATGTACAAATATAATTATTGTCATTAGTAACAATAAGTATAATGGATGCAGTTTTAATCTCAAAAGAGCAGTGAGATTTTGTGTGGATTTACAATTTTGTGTAGGTGCCTACAGTTTGCAATTCATTATTA